CATCATGATCAGTGTATACTTGTAGATGACATGAATCATATGGCGGTGGAGGGGGGAAGGGCTCATGGACGTAGAAGAATCACAGACCCAGGGCCGCAGGAGCAGGGAGGATGTTCCGTTCCACCGACGGGGGGGACGGGGGGACAGATGTCGTTGTGCCTGTGTAATTGTACGTAAACTGAAGCAGGGGGGAGAGGGGGGCCGGGCGCAACCATATATATATATGTATATACACACACGTACATACATACATACATACATGCATGCATACATACATACATACATACATACCCACATACATACATACATACATACATACATACGTACATACATAGACACATACGCACACACACATGTTTTGTGAGTATAACACTATGCTATAAAAATCTGCTTATGTTGTTATGTTAGTGTAGCAATAGGTTGTAATGTTATTTTACCATGACAATGCGAAAATCATTGTAACATTATGTTTGCTTGTACTGGCATTTAGCATATTAGCAAACGAGTAGATTTGAGTTTTCGTACATTATTATATGAATATTTTTGTATTTTAGTATACTAGTTTTCAGAGAGTAGTAGTGCTTTTTGGTATACTTTTATTTCGATATATGTTGAACCTTGCATATTATCTTGTCATGTTCGTACATTGATGGATATATATATATGTACACATATATATATATATACGCACACATATTGATGTTGATACTGTTATACTAATACTTTTGTTCTGTTGAGTTGAACATGAAAACCGGGCATGCCTCCAAGTCAGCAGCGCGCTTCGCCTGATATCGGCATGCTTGTCGTCGGCTGGATCTTGCCGAACTCAAGACAAAGGCCTCCGCAGTTGCTCGTTGCTCCCACTTCTGGGCAGCGGCCTGCAATGACTCATGAACTCTCCGGAGGCATCTTTGGAAAGTACCCCGACAGGAGCACATGCCGACTGCAGGGCAAAGGTGCCTCGCTGTCGACGATCCTCACTTGGGCCTCACAATCGAGCCCAATACACAAGCTTGTTTGCGGCGTGGCGTACTCGACATTTTCGCGTGATCACAACACCAGCCGAAGATGGGACAAGGGGGACAAGACCTTCGTCATTTCCTCTTCCCGCTGCTCGTCCAACAACTTGAGCTTGGTCGCGTGTTCGCTGACAGCCTGGCTACATCTCATCCCACAGAAGGCTTAGTCAGCTCAGACGAAGCAGTTCTCTGGCTATGGATTTTTCCCCCATCCATGGCGTGCGCTCTCGCCGACTCATGGCGCGGCAGAGTCCGTGGAGCCATAGGCATGTGCCCTGTGGTCCGGGTCCTTATGGTGCGCCAAGTGGGGCCTCCGGCAGCGGAGGCAGCAACCCAAACGACACGGGAAAACAAAGGGACGTAAGACTTAGGACCCCTGCTGCAGAATGATTCTGGTGTAGTTTGACCTTGGTTTCACTTCTCAGCACATCTCTATATTTATGTCAATCTCAGGAGTGCTAAGTCTAGAGAAACCATGATTTCCAGAAATAGGAGAAAAAAAGGAAATAAATAGGACTTAAGGGTTTATAGGAGATAGGAGAAAAATAGGAGAAAAAATAGGACCTGCCCGCACTCGCCGCACCACGGCCCTGTGTTATCTCCTATTTTTCATAGATTTTTTCCCACAGTTCCTATTTTTCTCCTATTTTTCTCCTATGTTATTCCTATTTTTCCCCTATTTTTCTCCTATTTTTCTCCTACTGTTAAATGGGAGAAAAATAGGAGAAATATAGGAATAAAATAGCAGAAAATAGGAGAAAAATAAGAGAAAAATAGGAATACAATAGGAGAAAAAATAGGAAATGTAGGAAAAACCTTAGAAACATAGGAAAGTGTTTCCTACATTTCCTATTTTTCTCCGATTTTATTCCTATTTTTCTCCTATTGTATTCCTATTTTTCTCCTATTTTTCTCCCATTTAAAAGTAGGAGAAAAATAGGAGAAAAATAGGGGAAAATAGGGGAAACATAGGAGAAAAATAGGAAATGTGGGAAAAAATCTAGGAAAGAGATAACACAGGGCCGTGGTGCGGGGAGTGCGGGCAGGTCCTATTTCTCTCCTATTTTTCTCCTATTTAATTTGTATTTCCGAAAAAAACCAGGATTCCCATGTTCTTCCTATTTTTATCCAATTTTGAGCCACTTGCGATCTGACTAGAGTTAGCACCAGAGATCGACATAACTCTATATATCAGGCACCAGCGACAGACATGGACCTCACTGTCACTCACTTGCAACAAAGTCACGAGAGAAAGACCATCAGCAACGTCTGTCCCAGGACTAGGAGGCAGGTGCCCGTGGCCAGGCGAGTGAAGCCCGCAGTGGCATTCGAACTGCAGGGAACAGCACACTCTAGCTCTAGGTTGTTTTTGGACTTCGCGGCGACGGCGGCCAAGAACCCTCCTCTTTCTCTCCTGGCCCTCGCCTGGCCTGCAAATTTGGTCGAAGGCCTCCAGCGAAATCTTGGTGCCCGTCAGCAGCGAGACTGCCTCGATGACGGAACCCATCACAGACCTCAGGCCGCAGGCTGCATCGACCTGCAAGACCAGCGAAGAGGCACTAGCAACACCGAAGAGGAGCACCGTGTCCTGAGCTTCCAAGCATTGCTGAGGGTACAGGGCGTCTTACAGACTGCATCAGCCACAAACGTTGTGACTTCTTCAAAACGATCTGCTCACCCCAGAACATGGTGCGGCTGAGCCTCAATCATCAACATGGCCAGGCTTCCAGCCAGTATCAGGCTAAGTGCGCAGCGCCCCAGCAAAAACTGAAAGCATGCGGTGCAGCAGTAGTCGGCACGACTAAAGATCGTCTCCCTTGTCTTGCCGGACGCCAGGAACGCGGCCAGCACAGAGAGCATGTTGAAAATCTTAGCAAAGAAGCATCTGTTCGAGAGTTTGCCCCATTTACAAAGGAGGTATCGGGGTGACTGGGTTGCAGACCAATGCCAGGAAGAAGCCGATGCCGAGATCACTCAGCAGACCCGTCAGGGTGATCAAGCCCATTTGGTCCAACGCCACAATAGACTGTGTTCTCCCGGAGACTGCAAGGCCATAACCGGTGAGGAAAAGAATGAATGCGGCAATGCTCGGGACAGGAATACTTCTGAACATGTCATACAGGCATTTGAAGCAGCCGCCAAGTAGATCTAGGCAGCAGCCACAGTCGCACATGGCGCAGCCGGCGCCGTGACGAGCGAAACGGACGGTTCGGTCTCGGACTTAGTTGGAACAGCTGTTAACGGCCTCGACCCCAACCGCAGGGCTCGAGCCAACAGCTACGTCTTTAGCTCCGGTGAGTTGTTGCTCACAGAACACCACGCAATCTGACCTATCAACGGCCCGTTGTGTTTGACCTCGCCCGACCACGCCCAGAAAAAGGAGACTTGGCCTGGAGCTTGTTGGTCAAAGCAGCCTGTTCACCTCGCCCGCTTTGAGGCGAAAGGCGCGTCAGCAAAAGAAGACGAAGTTCACGCTGGCTCGTCTGGTCCCGTGCCTGTTGACTTCTGAAGCCGCGCCACTTCAGCATTGAGCCTCTTGGCGTCTTCCTGGAGATCTACGGAACAAACCAACCCATACCGACCTGTACCTGCATGCTCCGGGAATCTCCGGGACAACCGGTACACGGTCACATCAGCGTCTAAAGACCTCTTGTCACGACGGCGTAGCCAACTACTTGCGCGCCGACATGGACTTCTGACAAGAATTGCCCTGCCCCCCGCATCTTGGACTCCCCTTAGACGACTGGTATGCTCGCTGGACAAAGAGCCCTGCTGCAACATGACAGTTTGGGCACCGAGCGAGCAGGGTTCACATGCAAAATGCCCCTGTGACCGAGATCCTTGTGAGTGCCACAAGCACATGATGAGTAGGGTCCTTTGCCGCAGATCTCCCTCGTCAAACGACCCGATGCGATTCCAAGTACCACGTGCGACATGGAAAGTGCAAACTCTTGATTTCTCCTCTGCAAAAAGCTCTAGCATGTCTTCAGAAGTAACAGGATGGCGAGTCAACGAGCTTCCCAGGCCCTCCAGCAAAGCCAGGCCAACATTTGCAAATCGTGCCAAACATGATGCCACACGCATATCGCCTGGTCCGCAACGAAGCTTCTCAACACACTCGCGCCACTCTGCCCCACGTAGCTCACGCACGACGCCGGCCGAGACGATCATGCCCAGCCCACCGACCGGCCAAACTGCCAGCGGAAATTCGGCCTCTCCCCAGGGCATCGGTGCAGCAATGCTTTCTTGGAGCAAGGCCCCTCTCACCTCCTTCGGGCTCGGCTGCTCTGCATGTCCGATGCCCGCGCGAAGTAAAGCTTCTCGAGCCTCTGGCAAGAAGCCGCCAGTGACTCTGTAACGATATGGCATGGAGGCATCTTTCACCACGCCACACCATGTACCAACGCCCTCCAGACTTGCAATGCCACAGTGATGCCCCGGTCGTGCCAAACACCACTTTGCAGTCAGTGGCCACCGCACTATGCCTTCTGGCATCTTCAGGGGAACCCAGCACTTCCCATGGGAATTCTTGGGAGAGGCTTTCGAGCCTTCTGTTGAGTCAGAAGCGCAGCTGGCAAAGGGAATCTGTGACGGCTGACCCAGAAAGTATCTGTCATCAGAGTCGAAACCGGAGAGGACTTCTTTCAGTTCGCGCAAAAACACATAGGTGTCGTCATCCACCAACATGTACCACTTTGCAGGTACTGCCTGCGACAGGTAGAGAAGCGCTGGTACGAACCTAGCTTCACCATTGTTGTTATGCAACGGATCATCTGCATGCTGGGAATCATCCGGCACGTAAACAGTGCTCAAGCTCGGATCCGAGATGTTGCTGAAGAACATGACGGACTCGTTTGCCAGCCAAGTCTTTCGTGACAGCTCTAACCTGCCATGATTGAAGGCATGTGAAACAACTCCCACCGCTAAGAGATCTTCCGCCTGCACCAAGCTGCTCATACTCAAGCCGAGCAAAAGCGCCCATCTCGCCGGCACTCTCTCGGGATGAAAACGCGAAAGGACACATGGAAGGCAGGCCAAGGGGAGAGCAACGGCAGACCACGCAACTGTCATCGCTTCATGCGGGTGTCAGCGTCATGTCCGGCTCCTATCAAAAAGGGTGCTGCGATTCAGAGAGCAGATCAAAGTTGCCAGATCACTGAGGCACTGCATGATAACTGCTGAAAGCTTCATCTCGGCCTGTTCTTGGTTTCAGGGCCCTCGCAGTTGGGTCCCAAGGAAGCGGAACAACCGGGACGGGACACTCCCAAGCCTTTGAACGGTTTCTTGAAACCAACAGTGAGTTGTGTCAATCTCTTGAGGCAGCGTCGGGCCCTAGAGTCCTAAAGTCCTCAGTCTGCCCAAGGCACCGCCCCTCCCTGAATCCAAAGCAAAACAAAAGCCCAAGATGAAGGCGGCCTGCAAGGTTGCCGCTTCGGCTGTTCTCTGCACCAGGGCCTTGTCTTTCTCCTGGCCAGGCTTGGGATCTGAAGCTTCGTGTTCAGGGTAGAGTCTCCTGCAAGGAGCCCTCGAGCTGGACGGCGCGATCTGCCTGCCGGTTCCGGAAAAAAAAAGCATGGGACATTGATGCGGCGCAACCTACTCGTACAACTGTGCTTAGGCTGAGCTCGGGGCATGGAGCCTCGCTCCTGTCTGGACATTTGCAGCTTCAGCGCTCAAAAAATGGTAACATCCGCAATTTCCGACCAGCTCTCCTGCATGCGCCTTTTCACAAGCTGCTGCTAAGTCGATGTTCTTCTGCTCCGCCTGCCCAAGCGAGCACACAACCTCGCGATGATCATTCGTATCATTTTCTTTGCTGGGCCTTCTCACAGGTCTCCTTCAAAGCCAGACTCGATCGACGGGCCTGGGGGCTTTTCAAAAGAGGTCTCGTGAAAGCTCGGAGGATAAAGAAAAGGCGCAGGCCTCCTGGACCTCCTGCTCCTTTGCGGCCAGGGCAGCTTGCAGCTCCGCCAGCTGCTTTGCTTGAGCCTCAGACTTAGGCACCTCCTTTCTGCGACATCGTCACAAAAAAAAGCCAAAGCACCTCCAGCCGCTTCTGAGCCTCTTTGCCCTGGGAGGGCCTCCGGCGAGCAGAGGCGATCTCTCCCCAAAGTCTCCTTTTGGTTCATCGGACTGAGGCTAAGTCACTATCACGTCTGGTTCGCCCTCCCGAAAGCTCACTTCCTGACGCTTGGAGAAATGATGGAAAGTCATCTCTTAGGTTGGGTCTCGGACCTTCTTGCCAGTCAGCAAAGGCTGCGACCTTAGCGGGTCGAGGCTTCGGAAGCATGTCCAGACACGCCATTAGCTTGACCTGTCAGTGAGACCACCAAATCCAGGAACCCGGGCAAGTCTGCACTCTGCGCAGGAGCCTCCTGCACAGAGTCAGCGCAAGTGAGAACACTTCATGGCACGTGCAGAGGTTAGAGTGAAGTCACAATGACTGTGAGCTACTGTGTGCAGAACATTACAGTGCAGCTTATGCTGGTGACTGTGGCGCGAACCGCGTCATGAAGCTCACCATGCTCCGTCGAGCCATGTTCGCCGTCATTGTGGTTGGCGTGATGGGCTTCCTGCAGGACAAGATCGAAAGATCCGCTGGCATTGCCAGGGGCCTATGTGTGTTGCATAACAGACACATTCCGGGATACTCAGACGTTCCCAAGATTCAAGTACACGAGTTCAAGGCGCAGATCAGCGTAACAGTAGCAACATGGCAGGTTTTGGGTGACCTCCCACTGCCCGGTCAAGACTGCTGGATCTGCGCGGGTCCTTCTTGTACTTCAGCGTTGTCGGAAGGATGTACCACTTCCATGCTGGAACCACCTGGAAGGTGCATTCGGCTTTAAAGATCCTGCACCAGGTCTTCAGCTTCTCTTTTTTGGGCCCTCTGCCATGCTCGCCAAGATGATGGCAAGCAGCAGCGTGATGACCGGCGGAGCGAGGCCGAAGGCCCGCTGCTCCGCGAGGCCTCGAAAGAAGCCCAAGAAGCCCACAGGGGGTGAGACAGATGCGAGGGTTCCCTGCTCCTTGCCAGGATGAAATGTTACTGTTCCATACACATGCGAGTTGCACAGATCATCACTGATCACTCCATCCCACAGAGCAATTACCCAGGCAAGCACAACTCGGAGACTGCAGCAGAAACTGATTCCCTCGTCTGAGCCTGATGGTGATGATGGTGGTGATGATGACGAGGATGAGGATGAGGATGACGAATGACGATGATGATGATGATGTGGATGATGATGATGATGATAATAATGGCGGCGGCGGCGGCGGCGGTTGTGGTGGTGGTGATGATGATGATGATGATGATAATGGTGGTGGTGCCGGTGGTGTTGGTGATGGTGGTGGTGGTGGTGGTGATGATGATGGTGACGGGCTGTAGCTTGCAGGAGCCGCCTAGGTAAAACATTCTGCTTGTGGCATCTTGCACGCAATTTTCTGTGGGATGGCCCTTGCTCTGCAGTGCACCAGAAAGGGCCGAAAGATGTTGCGAAACCACACCTCCTGAAAAAGACGTATGCGATTGCTCTCGTTTAACGTGTCAAGCTTCTCGGGGACAGTTGTTGCGTCTTCGCTTGGTTTCTTCTTGCTAGAAGCGAGAATATTCTCAAGCAAGTCGTCAGCAAACTGCGATTCATCACAGGGAATGAACCCGACATGGTCGGAAAGTCCAAGGCGACGTCAACGGAACATTCGCTGCAGAGACCGGGAGGCCGGACCTCCGACGGCTGCATCGAAGCTGCGCTCCCAGGAGAATCCAATCAAGATACCCAAGGAGGTGATGAGGGCACGCCTCGGAGAAGCTGACTCGGCACCAAGGACTGCTAGTAGCAGTCTAGAAGTAACTCCCTCCCTTGCTCAGGCTGTGTCAACGCGGCGTCGACCTCGTAGAACAGTCTTGGCGTGCGCAAGACCTCTACTTTCAGGCAGCAAGCGCCTCATCATCAGTGAACTCCATGTCGGCAAGCTTGTCCAGCACCTGTATTGAAACAACACCTTACTCCACCCGGATGTACCTATGAACAGAGGCTTGGGCGAAGATCAGGCCAAGAGCCAAGCATGTCACGACCTCGCTCTCATGAACCGGCATGGGGCTGCGTGCAAGGTCATCACTCTCTGCAAAAGTCGGCCGCCGCATCCCTATCCGTCACTGGGCACTTGGCGACAGCACAAACGACAGCGGACACAGCTCCTTCCTTCAAGAGGACTGACGCTCTGCTCAGTTGCATCAGGCTGCACGAGGATCGGCAGACATGTTCGCCCGGCTCGAAAGTCTCACATGAGCTTCTGTTTCTTAACCCATATGGGTCCACATCCAGGTTGGTGGTCAGGAACCAGTCCACTGCGAAGTGCAAACTCCATGCCTCGCTCGCGCATGGAGTTTGATGTCAGCCCTTCCGAGCCCAAACGGAACTGCTGAAACATGCCGGGCCAGCGGTGCACATGGCACAAATGTCCCGAATCCACACGTGGTTCAGGCGATCCCAAACTGACGGGTCTTCCTCGTACAAGGCGAGCGAACGCAGACTCCCAAGTGCAGGAAGCCCCAGCCAAGAAAACCAAGACTGGTAGGACTAAGTGGCGGCGGACTTGACCCATATGGATGGACTTATCGACGCTCAGACAGTCAGTGTCGCAAAACATGCCAAGACTACATGCCAAGTGAATGAAGCCATAGGCCCTTGCAGGAGATGCGAAATGTATCTCAGCAACCCGAGTCCTTCTCACCATGAGCGGCATGGCCAGCATGTCCACCAGAGGCGCTTTGACCGAGAGCTTTTCGGATGGCCTTGCCTCGGGTGCGCAGTACATAAGGCAAAGGTGTCTACTTCTCTTCTTCGGCCTTTCATGCGGTTGTTCCCGATCCTTTCCTGTCCTTCGTTATCCTTCGTCTAGCTCGTAGCTTGCGTGGCCGTTCCGTACGATTCGCCGTTGTCAGCTTTCGATTCCTGTACCCGTGAGGCTGTCCGAGTTCGTGCCCTGCGTAGCGGAAGCGGCCTATGGTAAGCTGAAGGCGACCAACTGCTCTCTCCACTTAGCCGGTTTTTTCCCGGAGTCCTGTCCTGGTGAGCGGCCAGGTGGAGCATCTTGCGGGCAGTTGTACCAGAGCGTCAATGTCTCCGGCAAGGCACAGTGCTCCTACGCTCGGATTCTGAGCCTGTGATTTGCAACCACAGGTTCTGAACCTCTTCTCGCCTCGGAACTTGCCCACTCACGTGACAGCAACAACCTTTGCAGAACGACCACACCATGGGCCATTGAGATGAGGAGAGACATGGCCATCATCTCTCTGTCTCGTTCCATTGGTATTCATTGCATCTCGTTGCTTGCCTTTTCACTGCTCTTGTTTGCTCCAAGTAAGCTCCAGGCTTCTTCTGTTCGTACTACTACCAACATTCTCGTGCTATGACCACTACTGCATCTTCTCTTGCTATTCTCTTCCACAAGGACCGTCACCTGCTACTACTACACTTCAAACTATTCATGTAACCACCGTGGCTTCAGTCTTGTCTTCCGAACCGTAAGTAGGAGTAGGATGCTGCTTATGTTCTCTTCTTGTGATTATGTAGTATCAAGACTGATTCATCCGTGCTCGCTCTCAGGGGCGCGCGGCAGGTGATCTTCACAATCTCGAAGCATCCAAAAGCAGCTGCAGCCATAAGTAGCATGCCCTCAGTTCTGCTCTCTTTACTTCCTCCCAGTTCCGTCCGGAGCAGAGGCGAATGTCGCGGCAAAGACTTGGCGTCTGGCACATTCTGTGGCCGAGTGCTGCGATCCCTCCTCATCTTCTCCCTGCAACAGCCACCAACTGCATCGAACTGTTGCGCGACAAGCAAGGAAACTTTAAGACGACGCAGTTCTTGAGTGCTCATCTGCCTCGGAATTGGGTAGCTGGCCACTGATACCAAATCGGAGAACCTGGTAAACAGCACCTACGTCCAACGTTCTAGCAGTCGTGCAAAGACAGGCCTGGACGAGCAAGAAAGACACGGCCAATGCCATGACATCGTCTTCTGTCTCGGCAACCTCTTCGTCCCACAGCTTCTCCCACTCATCCTGGCTACAGCACAGGAATTGGAAACTAAACTTTGGCGGCAGACATGGCAGCCTCTTCGTCGTCAGCAAGCGTCTTGTACTCTCTCAACGTGTCAGTGCCAGCATAGATACCTTTCATGTGATATCATGCCTGATTCGTGCATCGACCATGTGCTTTATGGTGAAGTTGCACAGAGGCATGCACGACCGTGAATTGCTGCTTAAGGCATGGAAACATACATGATGGAACGGTCGCAAAGAAGAGGGGGCAAAACGGGACGAGAGACGAAAGACGAAGAGTTGGTTTCCATGCGATGACATTTGCCTTGGGACCCAGTGCTGAAGCGAGCCAGGCGCACACAAAATCCCAACAAGGGTAATCACCGGCACAAGACCACACCAAACCAGGTTTCTCGGAACGGCCTGCACAACAAGTGCACATGTGGCAACCGGACACCTGTAGGTTTGAAGAGCCTGCTGAAGCGTTCCCCATGCATTGATAGCCGCAAAGCCCGTGATGTGGCCGAGAAGTATGGCATAGCACTCCACATTGACCTCGACTGCCTGGTGAACAGAATCTGTGTGGCTGTCACTTGGTATCTCTCGCTGGTCCGCCTCGAAGTGTTCCTTCGCCGAGTTTTCTCGCTGCAGCTTCTTCCGGAAGTCCGACATTGATTCGGTAGCTGCAGCCCTCAGCCATGCGCAGCTAGAAGACATAGTTGCCGTAGCCGCGATTTAAGATCCAGGGTCGGGGCGACATGATTGACAGCTTGTGCTTCCCAACCTCATCAGGCTATGCCGTGAACAAGTTTGCTGCACATGGAGCTGCGGCTTCTCGCGAGTTGCTCAGAGTCACCAAGTGCTGGCCTCGTGGTGCTCCCCTAAGGCACCCGAGAAGTAGGCCAATGTCAGCTGCAAGATCAAGAACCACGCCGTCATGTGCATCTGGGAGTCAGGCAAAAGCACACTCCCACCAAAGTGTGCCAATTCGTAAGGTCTGCACCATGTCGATGACCAGCTGACCCCAAATCCACATGCCTTCCAGGATGTAATACTCCAGGACCTTGTTGCAAGCCTGCGATCAGCGACACCCGACGAGGATACTTCAGCCCAAGCTCCCAGAGAAGAGTTGCTGAGTGCCCTTGAATGCCTGGAAGAGCAAGACGGCCGAGAAGATGGATACCGTTGAACTGATCACCTGCTGGAGCACGGAACCTATGTGTCTATCTGCTCGCTTGGGTTTCTTGTAACGCAAGAAACTCGGAGGAGTTATTTGCAATTAGGGTCCCCGTTCACCTGTCTGCTGTTATGAGCCACGATAGAGCACAACTCAAGCAATATGACATAATATGACTTGTCTGGCTCTGCTCGACGTTGACTTCGACCGAGCTCGATCGAGCAGGATTCTGGGCAACCTGTCCTTCAGCATGTCGGCTACTCCTGTTGAATGACTTGAATAGGGGGGGGGGGGCGGCCAAATACCGTGCTACCAATCCAAACCATCTCAGAACCCCAGCAATGGAGAAATCGCAACATGGTGCACGCTGCCTCCCATGAAATCCGCTTGATGTCCTCATCCGGCCAGTTTATGAGATAGAAGTTGGCCATCATGAAGCCCATCTTGGAAAGAAGGCAAGTCTGCTGCAGCAACCATCAGCAGAAAAACACAGGCACGAAGTCAAGAAATCACAAGCACACGTGCGAAGAGCTCGTTTGCTGCAAGGACTTTCTGCAGATTCCGCCAGCTGCCTCGGGCCCTGGCGCATCCTAAAAGCATCATCGAGATGCAGATGTCTTCGGTGGCCTTGATCTTCACCTCTGCTTCAACTCGCACTGTTGCTTCTCCGCCACACCAGGAACAGTGCAACCAACAAACATGCCCGCCTCTGTTTCATGCTCAAGTCCTTCCTCGAGTTTACGTAGTTTGTCCTTCCTGCCCTGGCACACGACAGGGTCAGACGTCGATACGTGCCAAGACAGCGCAGAAGCCAGAGGGATGGCACCGCGAATGTCGACTTCTGATAGCGGTGATGCCATGTTGCAAAAGGCCAATCCCCTTTCGCGAAGAGGGCTGCTTCAGCCTCTGCCCTGCTAAAGTGTTCGTATTGGTTTGCCTCATGCTGAAGATGGCGATGATGGCGATGATGACGATGACCGTCGTGCGGTGCGGTGAGTTGATGAAGATGATGACAATGATGACAATGATGACGGTGATGGTGACGGCGGTGATGCAGGTGGTGCTCACGATCATGACCACGCTGATGATCATGATGATGGTGATGCTCATGATGGTGATGATGATGATGATGACGGTGATGATGATGATGATGATGACGATGATGATGAACATGATGCAGGTGATGGTGGTGATGATGATGCTGATGATGATGATGATGGTGACGATGGTGATGATGGTGATAGAGGTGATGATGGTGACGATGATGATGATGATGATAATGATGATGGTGATGATGATGATGATGAGCATGATGAAGGTGATGATGGTGATGATGATGATGAGCATGATGAAGGTGATGATGGTGATGACGATGATGATGATGATGATAATGGTGATGGTATAATTATCGTAATGAAGGTGATAATGGCGATGATGGTGTTGATGGTGATGATGCTGATGATGATGATGATGATGATGATGACGGTGACGATGATACTGCTGATGACGATGACGATACCACCGTGCTGCTTGGTGAGTTGATAAGATGACGACAACTAGTAGTAGTAGTAGTAGTAGTAGTAGTAGTAGAAGCAGTGGTGGTAGTAGTGGTAGTAGTGGTAGTAGTGGTAGTAGGAGTAGGAGTAGAAGTAGTAGAAGTAGTAGTAGTAGTAGTAGTAGTAGTAGTAGTAAGTAGTAGTAGTAGTAGTACTACTACTACTACTACTACTACTACTGCTAGTAGTAGTACTAGTAGTAGCAGCAGTAGTGGTAGTAGTAGTCGTCGTCGTCGTAGTAGTGGTACTAGTACTAGTGGTACTAGTACTACTAGTAGTCCTAGTAGTACTAGTAGTACTAGTAGTACTAGTAGTACGAGTAGTACTAGCGGTCGTGGTAGTCGTAGCGGCAGTGGTAGCGGTGGTGGTGCACCGTTCAGCACATGCCAAGTACAAGTACAGGAAAGCTTGCAGGAGCCGCTGTCGGACTCGCGGTGAGCTGAGGAACCGTGCCGGCCTCTGCGAAATACACGGGCGGCTCCGGACTTCCGCTTGCAACCTGGCCAGGCCACTCTCAGCGCAGGCTAAGAGACGGCATCCGACGGCCCGGCCTCGATCTCGTTGGAATATGCAGTGGAGGGACATAGGACTGCAATCAACCTTCGTGCAATCACGTCGACATGGCGCCATTCCCAGTCTGTGGCTCCTCACATCGGTTCTGAGAACACAACACCAGCAACAGGGGCGTGAAGAAGCCTTCAAGCAAAATCTTCAAGCTTGCTTCGTTCTTGAAGGCAACTCCGGGTGAGCGCAGCCAGCTGGGAGCATCACTGTGCGAGCGCGGTAAAGGACACCGACACTGGCACTTCATGTCTCGGACGCAGCCGAAGGATTCTGTGAGAGATGCCAGGCTTCGGTTTCTGGTGAGGTCTGCTTCGATGCTGGGGCTAACTAAACAACAACAAGGGCTCACTGATGTGGCAGTCATGCCTTCCAGCAGCTTACTGTAAGTCTCGAAGATACACCGCTGCTCAACGCCGCTGTGCTGTGAGAAGTAAATCTTGGACCAAAAATGAGCAGGAAAACGGGCCCATCCGACATGGCTCAGCACCCTAGGGGCCCCGGTGCTCGAACCTTTTGCCTCTGATGCTGGAGGATTTCACTGCAGAGCCCTCCAGGCAAAGTCCGAGGTCGCCTGGGGCAGGTGCCAAAACCGACTCTCTAACTTGCACAGCTTCGGAGCGGGCCTGAGCCTGTTGGCCGCTGCGTCTCGACGGCCCCTGCCTTATCCAGGTCTGCATCTCTCCGGCCCACTCTGAAGGTTATAGCTGTGGCTTGCATGTCTTAGGCCCACCACAAGCCAGGAAACGGGCTGCTCCCTGGTCACAGAGGGTGGTCGGGGTCTGTATGCGCTGAAAAGCAGAGGGCTGGGGCCTCCCAGTCGACATCGCCCAAGCCCGTCCGCTGGGTTTCTTTCGGCGGGTCAGGTATGTACGACCTGGCAGCAGGATGCCACTGACATAGATGACACCTTCAGAAAATCAGAATCCTTCAACGGCTCAGTAGCAGACCTCGAGGTGCATCATTCGACGGTGAATATCTCAGATCCGGCGAGATACAAAAATCGGCAGACCTGACACGACGCAGGCACTTTCATGAGCGCAGCCAGGCAAGCAGAAGTTGTACAGCACTGACATCGTTGAAGTCTTCAAAGAACACGTACGAGGCCGCCACATAGTTGGAGTTGGGCCCGGTAAGGCCTGGTAAAGCGAAGATGTCCTCGAGTGCTGATAGTCGGCAACGTCGTAAGCAACGTGCCTGCGTGCCGGTGATCAGGAACATGGCATCAGTTGGCCCAGTCCTTCAGTACGCCAGGGCTTTTTGGTTGGCACTTCAGCCCAAGACCTTTGCAAAGAGTCGCCGTCCTGGAGACATCCAGCGGACTTGGCCGACCGGCGACTCCCACTCCGTCGACTCCGGCTCCCTCCCCAAGGGCACGTGGTTCGAAGCTCTGGGCCTCTCTGCCCGACGCACCCCCCCCCCCCCCCCCNNCCCCCCCCCCCCCTCCCACCCCCCGTGGCGCCTTCGAAGGACCTTCGGCCTTCCGTCGCCTCCGCAAAGGATTCTGGGATCAAAGCGCAAAGGCTTCGGGATGCGACTGCACCCTCACCTCTGCGGTGGCTTGGACCGGTTGAGCACCTGCACGACCGCACTTTTGCACAACAAACCTGCGTGGAGGTCGGAGGTCCCTTCTTCAGGGATGGAGCACTTCGAGGGGCCTGGAGTTCAAGGCGCCCTGGACGCTCCGCGAGGCCCCGCCGTGCGAGGCACTCCTCCCAGGCCTCGGCTGCCCTATAACTGTGCAGAAGCATCTGCGGAGTTGCGGTTAGAGGGCTTATAGGCTTAAGCGTTCAAGGGTTCTGACAGTGCCAGCTGACCTGTGAGGGCGAGGGGAGGTCTACTGAGTATACTGATGCATGCCTTGCCGGCCGCCCTGGAAGAATGTGCTACATCATGCTACAATTCATCATGGTGGCAAGAGGTGCTGGTGTCAGGTAAAGATCACCTGTCATTCATTTGATCAGGACAACCGATTTTGCTGGCATCATTGCAGTTGTCGTAGTTGTCCCAGATGAGCATGACGGATTCCGCAGTTGGAACTTTCCAACCAAAGGAAACACAAGATCGGTACAAAATACTAGTTGCCGGTGTCCCTACGTCATCCTCCATTCTTGGGGGCTGTAGAGGAGCCGGCTGCTTCGCCATCGAGAGGGTAGCACTCCTCGGCCTTTGGCATGGAGTCGAGTGCATTGAGACAGGAGCTGGCAGGTCAATCTTGCATCCACTGGCTGCCCTTGCCCGACATGCGGTGCAGAGTTGCGAAATCAAAGTCTGACGTCATGTCAACTCTGCAGTTGGATGGCATGGAGCAGGTAAAGCGAATCTAATCTGCAACGGTCTAAAGCCTGTCCAATGTCCAATCACTGGTTTTTGATGTGCAGAAGCACCCGTACAAAGCCTTTGCTGTCATCCACTGGCTCGCACATTGCCAGAGCCGAACGAAGCCAGGAACCCCAAAGAGCCCGAACTCTTCCGAGAAAAGTCGGCCTCTCGCCAGCAGAGCTGCAGCGGTGGCCTTGCAGCTTTTCTGCGCGGCTGCCCCCCGGAATCTCTGTTTGTTTGTTGAGGCTGCAGCGCTTTCTTTGGCAGCCGAAAGCGGACAGCTACCTGCACAAAGGAAACGAAAGGAAGATGCTGGAAAGGCAGACTCTGCGGCCTGCTGGACGAGAGCCTTGAAGCCTGGCAGGGGCAGAGCAGCCACAACTTTCTCGGCTTGCAGCAATTCAAGGGAGACATGCCGGCCGCACTCACACGCAGGGGCAAGAGGAAGAAGCGGACGGCCGTGTCCCACACGACACGAACCTCGGTACAATAGCCGCTGGTAATGTGTTCCTTGCGACCAGCACTTCGCATCGATCCAGGCACTGCGACAATCGCATTGGCCGGGGAGCGCTTAGCATTCGCCGCACACTGGCCAACCGCTCTTCGGCTGCGCCTGTGTCGACTCCGAGCCTGGGCGAAAGATCTGGGCACCGCACGCCCAACGCTCGGGCGGCTCTTTGGAGCTCCGGACGTTGTTGCGACTTCGATCGCCTCTTCTGCAGAGTCCACTGAGGACTCGCTGCGAAGATCCTGATACAGCGACATGACTTTCTCGGATGTGCAGCCTCGCACACAAGTCCCCTGCTCTGGTGGTTGCCAAAGATGCCAAATCCGGGGCAGCCTTTCCGAACGAAAGAAGCGCAGCACTGAACTCAAAGGAGTGGAAGCACCGGTAAGCCTCTGAGTTCGCATCCTCGGACATTATCCTGGTATCTGGCGGAGAAAGAAGAAGAACATGTGGCGCAGAAGCTTGAAATCCGAACATCACCCATCCTCTTCTGCCCTGTTGTGTCTGTATAGATGCCAAGACCCAGGCCCGTCGAGGAGAACGGTTGCATCCTCTCGCAGTGCACCCAGCCGAACCTGGCAGCGGAGCCAATGCAAAAGCTGATTGCCTGCCTCGCGTCTGCCTCGATCTCTTCGGCCAGCGACGCCAATGCCGGAGCATCGACTGCGAGTGTGGGAACGTTGAAAGTGTTGGCAAAAGGGCTGCGGCTCTGCGGCTGCGCAGAGAAGCCAGGCCTTGCCCAGGGTCCGGAGGTGCCGACTCCGCCTTCAGAGCAGAACTCTGAGACCGTCTGTCCCTGCGTCCCGGGAGCGCCGGCCTTCACAGCCAAGTCACCCAACTCCTGACGCTCAGACCTGCCGAGAGGGGGCCTATTTCAGGGCTCTCATGAACTCGTCGCATCGAGTCGCCGACTCCAAGGCCATCAACGCATTGCGCAGCTCCTCCGGATCGTCCTCGGCACGGCGACTTCGGCAGCGTGCCCCCCCCCCCCCCCCCCC